CTACTCATTCTAAGAAATTTAAGCCTCTATTTTCATGGCAACATGATTTCACTTACAGTATCTTACATAAAGGCTTCCCTTCCTCTGCCCAACCTTTTAGTATTGAAGCCTTCTTTCCTTTCATCCTTTTCGGTGATATTATGCTATCCCAGTGGCTTTAAGTGTTATTTGTGATGTAACAATTCCTAGGTTATTTAACTTGCACTTTACACTGACAAACTTCTGTTTACACTATTTGATGACATCTCTTCCTATCTTTTCTTTTTAAAGAATACAAAATAGTAATAGAAAAAAAAAACCAGCATCAGAAATGATACAAAATTTCACTAAACAAAATAATAGGAGACTGTAATCCCAGCACGTGGGAGGCTGAAAACAAGAGGATCTCTACAAGTCCGATCTGTGTAGTGAGACCCTGTGGACCTTGTACTAAATATATAAATAAATAAATAAACAGAAAGTTATAGGAATTCAACAATGGTTGCTATATTACATGATGCTATCTTCAAATTAGTTGCTCAGGTTACCAGATAGAAATGTTCACAATTCATTTGAAGAAAACAAAACAAGGGGCCAGGGAGATGGCTCAGTAGACTAAGCACTTCCCTGGCAAGTGCAAGGGTCTGAGTTCAATCCCCGGTTCCACCAAAACAAAAACAAAAACAAAAAATAACAACAACAAAAAAAAGTTGTAAGAAATTCAGAAGAAGAAGAAATTAAAAAAAAAATTTAAGGATTAACTGCTCCTTTCAAAAGACCAGCAGAAGTTGACAGCACAATTGTCCAAACTATTCTGCACAAATACCTAAATATATCTTTTCCCTTCTTTCATTTGTCCTTTTCCTCATCCGTTTTTCATTCCCATGGAACAAATTCTTTCTCTCTTTCACAGTTTATCTGTTGTGCTTTTAAATTTTAATTACTCTTTCAAGTTTTCATACTAGCAAGATAATACGATGTTTGCACATGTGGATCTGATTTATTTCATTTACCAATATAGTCTCTAGCTGCATCTATTTATCTACAAAAGCCTCAAAATGATCTTTTTAATAGATAATAGTTATAAAATAATAGCTGAATAATACTCCATGGTGTAAAAATACCCTATCTTTTTTATCCATTTCTCAGTTGATGGGCCTTTGGGTTGTTTCCAAGATTTAGCTATGACAAATTGTTCTGCTATAAACGTGGGCACACAGATATCATTGTGGTTTGATGATTTTAGTTCTTTTGGATAAATACTCAGGAGGGGAATCTTCTGAATTCTCTCCACTCACCCCAAAGCCACATCTCCTCATGTTTCCCACCTCTTCTTCCTGAAATCTCTTCAATGGGTTCTCAAACCTACTTTACATAAAACCCAAGCTTCCTGCACTGTCTTATAAAGTACTTCCTGTCTACTTCCTAGGTCTTCAAGCTCAGCTTAAACAGCTTTTCAGTATTCATTATGCAGTTGGTGCTGGCTTTCCCATCCACCCTTAATCTGTTATATTCTGTTATAATCTTTATTTATTTTTAAATTTCATTTTTCATCAAATTATGTGTTTACATCATTCATTATCACAATTTTGAGTGATCTTTAATCTATTCTTAGGATCTGCCACTAGATTATAAAGTCTGAGACAAAGGATCTTGCTTTCTTCCACATGCCCAGGGCTTAGCAGAGTTCTCACCTCCCAGAAAATAATCAACAACCTTTGTTGAATTATTGAATGGGCAAGTAGATTTTATAGAATTGAAATCTATAAGGTTGAATAAAGATATACAAGTATAAACTAATGTTGTTTTAAAATCATAGATCCTTTTATTCCAAAGAAAACATATGCACAAACTCATATATTAAATAGAACTACAATGGTATTTTTTTTCTGATTGAATTAGACATAGAAGAAACAGAGCCATGTAATTCCATGACCCTCTTGACACAACCATCTTGGGAGGGTCTGCGTAGCTGCAACTTCTTCATCATGCATAATGTATGAACTAAGATACTGAAGAAAAATTTTCCCAACAATATACAACTCTTTAGTAAGAGATCAGAAGACTGAGCAATGTTGCTTCATAAGAAAACATTTCGGGATAAATAAATCTAATACCAGAATGGTAGAATCCACTCAGATGATCTAGCTTAGAGATCATCTTTACTCCTCAATGCCACTTAATGCCTTCAGAGTTTCTAAGGGAACAATTTCAGAAAGAAGTACCATATAATCTTATGTTATCTAACTGCTGACATTCCTCTTTATCATTGTGACTTCATTTTTAAGAGTCTAGTAAGGAAAAAATAAGCTTTTTTAGAGAAAAGTGCTTTATTTCATTTCTTCTTCCCTTAAGGCTTTTACTGTACTTAATATCATGGCATGTTAAGCAGACCAGGAAAACTGCATCTCAGTAAATCCTATCAGATTTTTTTCCTGAAGGAATGAAATAAGACAAATGCATCTTAATACATTCTACTTTGCAATTCATAGCTCCACATGTTTGGATATTAGACTCCATGGTGACAGAAGTTTTAGAAATGGATGACAGACCATAAGTCTGGCAGATGTCTCTGGTCAGATACTTCTCAATTATTTTTTCCTACACATTGTGCATTTAGGCACATGTGTATGAACATTTTAGCATAGAATTTAAAAATAACATGTATAATGTTTTGTTTTCCTTAAAGAAGCTATTGTAGCTCAGATTTGGAATTTATTAACTAACATTTCTCCTGTCTTACTTTTTGATCCAGATTTCCTTCTCAGTCATCTAGGAAATAAGAGCTGCTTTTTCTGGGAAAAGAGTGAAATTTTTATCTTTCTCTAAATCTCCTTATTTATTTTGTAAGAATCAGAAGTAGCATCTTTGTGACATTGCCTAAGGAAGAATTTTAAAAGTACAAAATAAATCCAAAATCAGGCTGTCTGATTAAGCAATCGTTCCTTGGTTCATGAAATTCTTTTGAAAAACTATGCCACAGTATTTTTATTGAGTTTATAAGCTGAAAGGCATTTAAAATTCCAAGGAGAACAACAAAAGGAATAAAAAAGAAACACACATGTGTTGTTACTAAAAAAAGGCACTAAAGATGTGTACTAGGCAGGATTGTTCCTGGGAAAAATTATGAAGCAGATGAAACCTCTGTTTATCATTTTTCCGTGCCTTGTTTTGAGCCCCCTGTTCGTTTCTCCTCTCCCCTCGCAGCTGTCAAGCTTGATCATCCCTTCCTGCAAGTCCTAGCTTTGTTATACCCAGTCTATGTTTCTCTTTTCCAACAGCTCTTAGGATTCTTCTAGGGAACTAAATTAAACTAAATTAGTTGCTCTTACAAAATCCAGGCTAACATGTGAATAATCATCTTGGAGATTTAAGTATAAAAACAAAAATTGGATGGGAATTATCGAGAAGATAATCACATTTTTTTGAACATTTGTTACATTTCTGTCCATCAAGCCTTGATACCAATGGAAAAGAAGTTCTGTAAAATGCTAACAAGAGCCAAAGACTCTAGAAAGACAAAATACAAGACTGAAAGTTCTTACTTAGGTGAAGCTTAGAGATGCAGAAATAAAATGAGTTAGTGCCACTCTGCCATCCACTATGTTATCTTATGAGTCCCTTAGTTTTCTCTGATTCTGTGTTTTTCAATTACAGAGTAACACACTATTAGGAGGACTGTAAGAAAGTACACAAATGAGTATATATTGGACCAGTGAGGTTTAAGATAGTTTTGCGGAGGATTCCCTGAAGTGTTCTGTGTGTTGTGCCAGAACAACCCACATAGCTAGAAGGGCAGAAAAAGATAGGCACACTACCATTATGGTAAAACTAAAGAGGAAATGACTCAGTTTACCAACTCTCAAAAACGGGATGGTTTATCCTCATTTTTGAAGCATCACTTTAAAATATGCTGGTGTAACTATCTGTTATCTGGAGGAGGATGTGTTCTTATTTTAATTGCTACAAAAGATATTACTTTCATGGATAACGTGAATGATGAGATGGCTGATTTGTGCTTCACGCTGCTACTGTATCCTTTCTGATAGCTTTCGTCTTAGTACTGCAAATCTTACTAAATCGGGTAGGCCATGGGCTAACACAGAACAGCCATTCATCACGTGGAGCTTAGGAGTCAGAGGAAGGACAGGGCCAGTGCATGCAGGGTCCCGACTCTGTCAATCACCATGTTGTCTCCCCGCCTACTTGCATCACCCAGTCGCTCAGCGTTAGTTCCCCAGTATTTCCAGGGAGGCACAGAAGCACTGTGGTTTATGGAAAGAAGTGAAGACAGCACGTCTGGTTTGAAAAGCTGTGATCTCTGAGTTAAGAGACCTACGTGCTAGCAAGTTAATCCTGAATCTGTAAAAGGTTGAGGAAACGTGTCAGAGTCCAGAGGAAAGAGAAATTGCTTTCTAGTAGTAGGGGTGTAAGGGGTGACTTCAAAGGATGGAATGTCCATCAAAAGACAAGAAAACTTAGAAAAATACAAGTTGGATAATCAAGGCCTTGGTAGACTGTGAAAGTAAGAAAATGGAAGAACCTCCAGTTAGAGGAGCTAGAGTGGGCACTGCCCTGATAAAGAGTATCAGATTGACACCCATCTGCCAAGGACCAAATGGCCCAAAACATCGGAGAGACGAGGAAACGGTAAAGCAAAGTCATCAAATGGTGAGAGGTGGATATGGAAGAATGTGATTGACACGCGCTTTGAGCAGGAGAGGAGCTGTTCTCATCGTTTATTCACGTCTTTTAAATTTTTTTTTTTTTAGTTATAGGAGGAAAGGTTTATTTAGCTCATTTTGTAGAGGGTTCAGTTCAGAGTTGGCTGCTCCGAGGAAAAATTGCTGGCAAAGGAGGAAAAACCAAGTTTACCATAGAGAATGTGACACGGATGCAAATAGTTTTGGCTGATAGGAAAGTTCCCATCCTTGGCGCTGCCCAGAACACCAAGATGGCAAGGACTGGCATTGGCAATCTCATCCTGGGAAATCCTCCCTCAATATTAGAGCTGTGGCCAGCAGATCAGCAGAACGGTTCTGATTTCAAATTAGACTTCTATCTTTGGACTTTAAAGAGAAAGAGCTTACGCTCTGCAGGTGGTCACAGAAAACCATGTGAAGAATGTCTCATAAACAGAAGAGAAAGGTTTAATAATACTCAATATTTTTTAGGACAATTCACATATTAAAATATAATGTATATTTTTCTTTTTGAGTCACATGTAGCAGATTTGCAATGTAGAATCCTCATTTAGAGGAAACTTAGTGCATAAACAATTCTATGTAAGTTTTGGGTTTATGTATAAGTTTATAAATATTTCTTCTCTGTAAATTGTAATTAAAAGGATCATCTAAAAAATTACGTTATATTATGCTTGCAAAGAATTTTATCCTGGATCCAGTATATTACTCTACAGTAACAATGTCAATTCCATGAATAAAGATCCAAAATATATAAGCAAAGTATGAAAGGACAAAGTTCCCTTCTAATTGCTTTATGACAAAAATTCCATAGCTTATGGAAAAGTGTCTTTCTTCTTTGGGTTAGGATGGTAATTACTCCTTGCCCTCGAAAGCCATAAGTCAACACCTCTAATTACCCATTGGATGCATAAAAGGTCAAAAAGTGTGTGTGGTGTGTGTGTGTGTGTGTGTGTGTGTGTGTGTGTACACATACAGGCTCTAAGTTCACCGAACTGCTAAATTCACTTTAAGTTGAATTTCAAAATGAACCCAACAGTACTTACTGGAAGGCCCATTTGACCTGGTCTTCCCAAGAGCCCTACAGTTCCTGGTAAGCCCGTTTCTCCTTCTTCTCCATCCTCACCAGGAAGTCCTCTTTCTCCTAGGGCTCCCTGGAACCAGATGAAAAAATAAAAAAAATTAAAAAGGATCACTACAGTCTAATTCTGCCATACAATAAGCAGGGTTTTGTTTGCCACACAAAAATGATTATTTGTAGTGTTTTGAAGATTTTATGAGACATCTATTTTATACATAATATTAAAAACCATAATTTACCTTTAGTCCATCTTTTCCTTGGATACCTTCTTCTCCAGGAGCTCCTGGTTCACCCTATTTTGTAATAAATACAGAGTAAGGGATAATTTTGATGTCACTTAATATTTTTATCCTTGGCATGTATAGAAAGTAGCAGGTTTGTATTCATTTATTTCCAATTCGACTTTTTTTCTAAGAGAGTCTTTGAAAATATAATACATGAGCTAGTCTTGACTAGCTCTTCACAGTGTTGTAAACTCAAGCATGTGATAGTTCTAGAATATTAATGAATTTTAAATGACTAAAAGTTACAGATATTGGGCTGGGGAAATAGCTCAGTAGAATAAGCACTTGCCTGGCAAGTTCAGGGGCCTGAGTTCAATCCCCGGTTCCGCCAAAAAAACCCAGAAAAGTTACAGATATTCATTTGTAAATTTTATAGCTAGATTTGTTCCTGAGTTCAAAAATGTAAATACTGAATCACATGAAATATAGTACTTTGCTATGATCAATTTATGTAGCTTAATACAACTTGATTCAATTATGGTTATTCTACCAGATCAAAATTTCTATATTTTCTCTTTTATAAAAAGAGCAAAGATTTAGGCCAAGATCCCTGAAGAAGCTGCCTTTAGATACAGAATTTGTATAAATATAGAATCACATTTTCAGAAACTGTTAAAGTATCTCTGGGTCTCTTGATACCTAAATTATTTTAAGTAAGTTAACTAGTACTTACTAATAGTTGCTCCATCTGTCCCACCCCTTATGCTTCCACTATGCTCACCTCTAACTCATCCACTCTCCCAAACAGGGAAAATAAAAAAGAAACGAACAAGATGCAAACAATATTTCCCTAGTTTGCTTTTTAGTGAACCAGTGCCTCTTAAATGTCTTAAGCACTGCTATCTTGGGGGGAAAATGCTTATTAAAGCTCAGAATGAAGCATATTTATAGTAGCGTCACTTGTCAAAGCTATCAAAGTAAAATTCCAGTAACATTCTTGGTCAGGATTATTCAGGAAACACCTCCTTTTTAGAAAAAGATGTGCTGGGTTAGAATATTAAATGGTACTCAATGAGAATGTAAGCTGGGTTTAGTGTGCAGCTTTTGAAATCCTGGGAAAGAAGTCAGACAGTTTCTCTAGTGGATCAGGAAGGCTTATGCGATTCCTTTGATGTGTTTAGGCTGGTCAGTTTTGAGTCCCTGAAATAAGGACGTGGACTAACAGGGTTTTGGTAGGTACTTACTCGTAATCCTGGTTCCCCAATTCCTCCAGCACTGCCCGCAGGCCCCACATCTCCCTGAAGAAACAAAGAAGAATAAAGTCGTTTCCACTGAAATGGAATGTCTAATCATAAGGGACAGTTTCTAAAGGACAAAAATTTCAAAACTAGTATCAGGTTTATCTGATGGCCCTCACTGGCATTGTGTGTGTGTGTATGTGTGTGTGTTACCGAGGATTGAACTCAGGACCTTGAGCCTGCCAGGCAGGTGCCTATGCCACTAAGCTATATCCCAGCACACTGGCTTTTAAGATGTCTGCCAAGAGGGGGCAATTTAGAGACCTTCTCTCTTACTTTAAAGGCAAGTTACCTTAGCACCTGGTTCACCTTGCACACCAGAGTCTCCCTCAAGGCCTGGAGGTCCCTGAAAGAGAATGATTTGATACATTACCAAGAGAGTAACAGCCTCAGAAGATGTCTGTGCTTTTTAGCTCAAGGATAGGGTACTTATATCCGGACGGTACTCTTTGTTCCCCTCTTTTAAACCTCATAGCAAAAGACCAGGTACTTTCTAGGATCCTTAAACAATTTAAGAGCTAAAGCAACTTCACCTGAAATCAGAACTTTGAAGATCAGTTTCTCCCAACCATCCTCTTAGTCAAAGCCTAAAAATCAATCTACTTTCTACTTTAAATTTTCTGTCCTCATATACAAAGACGTTTTCTCAATTTTCCTCTTTCCTCTTTTTTGTTTTTCTTCTCTCTTTTTCTTTTGTGACCTCTGGAACTCACTTCCTTCAGAAAAATCCATTTCTTTTCTATACTGGTTTATGAAAAAAAAATCATACAAATAGGAGATGA